CACACCTGTTCGCCTAAGCCTGACAGAAATCTTCCTCCTGTACGTCCTTCAGACTGCAGGGAGTCACATGAGGACAGCAGGGAAAGCTGCAAAACAAACACAACTACGCCTTTTTAGAGATATTTCTCAACTGAAGGGGGGCCGTGGGGCGGGGGGAAGGGGGTCACAGGTCAAAATGGCTTTTTAATTTCCAACCACGTCAGGTCTGAAGCGGCATGCGAGCCGGCTGCATCCAATTATTCATGATTTTATGTAACAGGGCTTGGGGTAGGAAATTAGGTCGGGGAACATCGTGAACACAGGCTGGGCGAACTTGGAGAAGTTTGACTACAAGAAGAAGGAACAGCTGCCACGTCCACGGGCGTACGCGGGACTTTTTTAGAATGGGGGGCACAAAGGAAATAAAAATATTTCACACTCATGTTCAGTCCTGAGCCATGATACAGACATTTATTTTAAAGGAAGAAAACTAGTGTGCAAAGAAGCAAAACCAGTATGAAAAGCCTTAAATTACACTGCAAAATATACTCCCAGTACCTACATACAGACCACTCACTGTGCTGAACGACATGCATCATAATATTAGATCATAATGGTGTGCAGACTTTAATGTTGCAGCTGGATATGATTTTCTGTACCTATATGCTGCTGGGGGTGTTATTCAAAATATTATAGCACCATATATGAGTAGATTTATATTTTTAAATCTGCAGCAGCCCTCTGAAGCTTTAAAACAAAGCCTAGAGCACAAAGTGCAACACAAGCATCCAAAATATAGCTGTTTGGTTTTATATAAAACCCACCAACAAACATCTTTCTTTAAAAAAAAAAAAACTTTTAAACAGTATTTTTTAAGTGTGGTTTAATTTTCCCAAGCTTACAATTAATTTTTAATAATCAAACATCCCAATTTTATGTTAACTAAGGTTAAAAGGGGAACTCTGTGCCTTGATTGCAAGTGCGGTAAATCCTGCAAAGGCTCATTCTGAGATTTTTTTTAAGGAGAAATCGTTAAATAAATTGAAAGTTTATTAAATGTGCACTCAAGTAAAGTATCTGAGTAAATGCACTAAGTTACATTAGACCGCAGGACCTGTGGGGGCGAGGCACTGATATTTGAGGGGGGCTGGTGCCACCCCACGCCCCTCATGTGGATACCCTCCTGGCCGTGTCACATACGGGGCATGCAGGCAGTCCCGGTGAGTAAACGGGCGCTAATAAAGCCGGTTTCCCCGCACGGTCGGGCGGCAGCAGTGACCCAGTCTGTCAGCAAACACACGGCGCTGGATGTAAATACACCGAGCGCGTATTTGCAAAATTATGCAAAAAAAAACGCACACATTTCTGCTTAACCGGAGTAAAAGCAGTTCAATATCAACGCGGATCCCTATAAATGCAGTTTAAAAACACAATTGTGCAAAAAGAACAAACACTGACGGCGTTTCCCGTGGAAAAGCCGAGCGCTGTGGATTCTGGCAGCCTGAAACCAGTAGAAAACCAGTCTGCCATTAACTGGCACGAAGTCAGCGTCTGTCCACCAAACAGGCAACCCGTCCTCGGAACCGGCCCGGCCCAAAAGCCCCTCTTAAACTACTTCAGCCTCACATTTGAACACGTTTAAAGCACCGAGCGGAAAACTGTTTAATACCAAAGTAAACGGCAGTTCGCTTCAACCTGCGACCGCCAAACAGTTCGCTCATCGGCGGTGAAAACAGCCCGAAAAGACGATCTAACGGTAAAGACAGTTCGGTGAAAGGCAAGTACAAAGCGGAAAAGCTGGGAAAGTGTCGGTAAAGCAGCGGGAAGCGGCTCTCCGCAAACAGGCAGCGTGTTTCTGTGCACCCCGCTGACGGAGGCTTCACCTCAGATGACCCAACCAGCCAGACTGGCTGTCTGCTAGCTAGCCCCGTTTGAACCTAACCTACAGCGGGCAACAACAACACTTGAACCGACTCTTTAACCGCACTGTCATCGGCTCCGCGGAGACCGAGGCGCCGACAAAAAGCGGATTTATCCTCCACTCGGGTCCGCGGAGCAGCGCTGTAACTCGGAGGGGAAGACGGGAGAGAGGAGGGGGAGAGGGAGGCAGCCAAAACAAATGCGTTTCCCGACATGAAAGCACAACATCCAGAGACGGGCAGCCACGTTTCCCGCTGCTGTGTGCGGGGAACGGCTAAAGCTAAAGCTCTTAGCTCCGCCGGGTCGCCCGTCATTAGCAGGGGCTAACTGGCTAACGGCTAGCCCCAATGGCTAATAAATTTATTATGTGCACTTTCACCGGGGGTGGAGGGGGGACGGCAAAAGTTGGCTACTAGAAAAAAAAACAACGCGAACTGGGTGACATTCACTTGTCTCACAACTATCCTCAAATACACCCGGAGAGCAGTCACCCCGCAACTAAAGTTACCTGACAGCCAGGTGTCTAAGTATTTCCATCCCAGCCGGGCTGCCGAGGAGATCCGCGGGGTGAGAGCGCCGTGGTTCCCACTCCGAGAGGCTGTGATGGAGGGGGACGGTCGCTAGCAGCAGCCGCAGCAGCAACAGCAGCAGCCAGGGCAGAGAGAGGGAGCCAGGCGGCTAGTCTGCCTGCAACCAAGCCGCTTTAATAACTTCACTTTTGCGGTCACTTTGGTCAAAATTTATCCCCGCGAGTAAAAAAAGGAGAAGTTTCCCTCGTGTCCTACCTGTGTGGAGTCTGTGGCTGCACGGTGCGACAGGCTGGAAGTTGATTATTCCCAGAGATCCAGAGTGGAGCGGTGCGGGGCGCATATAGCTAGCGCTGGGTACAGTAAAGATTGTAGCATAGCTAACCTAAAGACAACAGTAGAGAGGAGAAAAAAAAGCCTGCTCGTTGCTCATAGGGGGGATCGACGACAAAAACCACATGATCTTTTACGTCAGCATATATTTGCATAGGATGCCAAATTTATGTTCGGTGTCCAGGTGACGTGAAAATGTACAGAAAAGTTGGACCGCGACGCTGCCGGACTCTGGCACGGCGGAGAGGCGCGACCACGCGGCGGCCATGCACCCCCCGAGCGTGCCCCCCTCCTGCAGCGGCTCAGCCTCAGCACCCCGGCAGCAGGCAGGCACCACCTATACATCCACACACACGCTCTCTCACACACACTCACACACCTGTGGTCCTCTGCACCGACTTTATTCTCATTTTAATCCACTTTCCTGCACTCTTACCCTCACGCCCGCTCACACACACCATCACCGGACTCGTTCCCGTCTCGTGTGTGACATGTTCGTGATTGTGACACCGTGCAGCTCTGATCTCTGTGAATTCTCCTAAACTCGGAGAAAATGTTGCAAAAGTTCGCTTTCATGAACCCACGACATGTAAATAAAAATGTAAAATCTAAAATAAAACCGATGTGAGCGGGAACAACACCCACGGCGCTCGGGTGTTTCTGTGACACCTGTTTGATCCTGGAGCTGACCCGCTCACGGCACCGTGCTCACGTGCGGCTGGAGCATCAGCACCCACCTGTTCAACCTGGGCTCATTTCAAGGGAGTTTCGGTGGGATCAGGAGGGCGAGAGTGCGTGGGAGTGGAAGGAAAAGTTTATCCACGATCACCACACTGCATCGCGCTCGTGCATTTTGATAAATGGGCTTGTCTACCTGATCAGATGCAATAAACGTGGAGACGAACCCTCGCGCTTGTGCGAAAACGTGACGGACAGCGACACCAACAGGCGGGTTTAGGAAGCACACCCTGCCTGCTCCCACCGGTGGTTATGTGTAGGTGAGTTATGCGATCGATTTATGAGGACTTGGGTGATTTAGTGACCTTTGACCTCTGTGATAATATGTCCAACGTCACCAATCAAACATCCCGAGTGTAAGTTTATGATCGGCTCTGATTCCTGGCTCCTTATCAGTGCTGATAAAACCATTTTAATGCCAAATCTCAGTCTGTTCACTTAAAACAGAAAGAAAGAGCGTGGCTGCTTTTCAGGCTAAAAGAACAAATTATTAACGCGTTCTTATCCATAAGGTCAAAGGTCAAGTATAAAAAAGCAGCTGCAGGAGAAACTGAATTCTAATGTCTTTGATGTTCATTTATTTTGTTTATTTAATTTTCAATTTTCATCATTTTCTTGAATTACTCGACCTTTTGATATACAGTATGTTTCTTGTTAATTAGCATTTTTAACAGTTTTATAGTTTTTTTATAATTTAAAAATTATTACACCTTACTTTGCATTTCTCATGAATTGTGCTCATTTAAATGATCAGCCTCTCAGACCTCTGCAGAGATGACTTTCTATGTTTTATTCAACCCATCCATGCAATTTTATTTTTTTATTTTTCTGGCTATATCTTAATATTAAACATTCATCATATATCAGATCCTCTATTCCTTGTGAATTTCTGTGATTTTATTATATTTTACTTCCATTGTTTAAATATATTTTGGATTTTTTAGCCTTTATTAGACCACGATAGGGGAGAAAATTCAGGAAAACTGGGAGAAAGACACTAATTAAATGGCCTCAGCGCAGAGTTGAACCCATGACGCTGCTTTATGGCAGATGGATACCTGCACTACCCAGAGAACTGAAACATTTATTAGCTCACATTTTTATCTGTGTTTTAATATCATGAATTAATACAAATTTTGTGTCTTAGTATCAGCTCGTGCCTGTGAATACTGTGGGCACTGATGAATAAATAACCTTTGATTGATGCGCTGCCCTGCAAAAGGTGGACTCTCTCTTACAGCATGTTTTTTGTTTCAGGTGTATTTCAGTTTATTTCATTTTTATCAGCCGGTTTCTTAATTAACCCTGCCCCCGTTCAGTCCTCTCCGGTGAAGGGCTGCAGCTGTCTGCCTGCCGGTCGGGTTGTTATCAAAACTCACATTCCCTGTGCCGTGAAGTATGCTGCTTATTTCGCGGCCCCGCCCCCTTTTCTGCTGTGTTGTTCAGATGCATTTAAGGACGAGCTGCTGGAAATAATAGAGGGCCTTCAGAGCAGGATCGATGCCACAGCCTGCGCCATCTTCTGCAACTGGAAGCTCTCGCCAGCGTCTCCAGAATACACAATCAGGTAATGTTGCCAGGCAAAAGTGCCAGCTCTAACCAATAAGCAGAGTTTTGGTCAACATTGCTTAGCAACAAAAGTTAAAAACTGAACCAGTCAAGGCTCAAAATAGTCTTTAAAATAGTGATCAAGCACCGTCAGTGTCACAAATTTCAGCAGATAAAAAGCTTTGGAGACAAGAATCGTCCGGCTGGAACACCAAATAACAGGACACGTTTGTCTCCTGCTGCGATGGAGCCATTCTCACCGCAGACATTCATTTCACGTTTATTAAAGATTACAGCGCTCTTCTTCACCTTCCGGACGCAGATGTGCCAAAGCTGGACGTGCAGCTGCATCTTTTCCTTCCCTCTGGGTGTCACCGTGGCTCTTCTGCCTCTCAGTTTGTGGATTTGAAGCCAAATTTATTTTCCAGCAATGAAAATTATTCAGTTATTCCATAGAACCCTTCGGCCTCCACCAGGCAGGAAAATGCCAAAAACTGCAGTTCCTCCGATGACCACTGGAGGCCTCAGAGACACAGCAGTCCCCACAGAGCCCCACAATGCTAACACTGAATCACTGATTCACAGTGCTTGTTTGAGAAGGAAGTTATCAAAGCAAATGTGTGAGGACTCCCAATGGATGAAAACTTCACCCTCTCTCCAAATGTGCTCACCTGTGGCTCTGTAAAACAACACAGCAGCAGCAAAATACTTCAGAGTAACCAACTGGTGATGTCACAGTGGGCACAGCCATCTTTCATATACAGTCTGTGACCCTCCCGTGCCTACAACACGTTTGAAACGGTGACCTTTCACACAGAGAAAAGAGAGAAGTCCGCTTTGGCGACCCACAACTTCCAAAACCAAAAGAGCAAGCGGAGCCGAACAAAACCGCAGGAAGCACCTATTTTTGTTTCAATTCCCATCAAGCAGGTGGGCATTTGAATAATGCAGCCACAAAAAACAGGAAAAACTGTGACACACCCTGGGAGAGAATTTGCATATCATTGTGGTCAGAATTAAAATTCATGTAAAAGGAAAAAAAGTCTTTTTAAACGTGTGGATCAGAAATACAAAGGCGTGCTCTCACCAACAGTCACAAAAGTCCAAATAAAACCGAAGCAAACTTTCGAAGCGCACATGAAACGGTGAAAACTCCGAGCTTTTTTTGTCTCGTGACAGAAGCGCTCACAACCTCTGGACTCTTTCCCGCAATTAATCAAATGAAGCCGACTGAAAAAGAAAAAATAAAGTCATTATTTGGTTCACAGTTCAGTACTCGGTGTGTGAGTGTGTGTGTGTGTGTGTGTGTGAGTGTGTGTCTGTGTGTGTGAGTATGTGTCTGTGTGAGGGCTGTGTGTGAGTGTGAGTGTGTGTCTGTGAGTGTGTGTGTGTGTGTGTGTGTGTGTGTGTGTCTGTAAGTGGGTCTGTGAGTGTGTGTGTGCAGTGTGTCTGTGAGTGGGTCTGTGTGTGTCTGTGAGTGTGTCTGTGAGTGTGTGTGTC